ACACACACACACACACACACACATTTATTCATACTCACACACAAATAAGAACCTTGGAACCCAATGCAGGGAAAGGCAGGTTTATTTATAAAGCACCGCTGAGACACGAGGTAACAAAAGACATAAAAACTGAATGAACACCAGGTGCAGAGTAGAGGCTCAGAATAATCATTATAAACACATTTCAAATAAAACTGTAAAACACATTTAAATTGAAGTTAAAAGAATAAAATGGTTTATTCTGGTTTCAATAAACCAAGAGGAACAAAATATCAAACTGAGGCTTCAGCTCACGAACCTTCCACCTGGTGAACTCTGAGACTTCTGAGGTGTGAGGTCACGAGGGGGCGTTGAAATGCTCCTGAACACAGCAAAGGTTAAGCTACTATAATGTATTTATTTATTCTATATTAAGAAAGAGGCAGACCTCGCTGTCGCTGAGCGACCATCAACCGCTCACAACAGGAAACCACGGTCAGCGTTTAACTGTGTGAGGTTCCTGGAACGTTTGTTAAAGTTATAAGAAGAAAAAAAAAGATATTTAGATTTAAATGGAAGAGATAAAAGTAGAATGGCTTCGTTGCTTGTGGTTTGCTCCTCGACACGGTGACAGTGATGTGATAAGCAGCTTGTTGAAGGTCAGACGCTCGGGGAACGGGAACATCACCCGTACGTAAATCATCGACGCCTCTCAGCTGTAACGACCTCATTTAAACACCTGGGTGCGCCGCAGATCACGAACACACAGAACCATCTGCTGCGCCTGAAGGGAAACAAGCCAATGTTTATTATGATCCCAGAAGCAGCAGAGGTGAAGGTGAAGGTCAGAGAGTCGTATCGAGCAGGAAAACCAGGAGACGAGCTGTCAAAATAAGAGTCCTCACACCAGACTGCTGTCAAAGTAAAAGTTATTCTTAATGAAAGACAGAGATGTGTCACGATCCAGATGTTTCTCTTCACGCCTCAGCGACAACCCAGCGGCTGACGGTGTTATCCAGGTTTCTGTTCCACTCTTCTTCTTGTGAACACGTTATCTCAAGAACCAAGGAATTTCTTTAAACTTGGTACAAACGTCCTCAGCTGGAAAATTTAAATCAAATAAAGAAATAGAAATGTAATAATTTAAATAAAACAAGATTACATCTTTGTGAAAAACATCACTTATTTTACTTCTTCATCGTTTGTAAACACTTTGATGAACTTTGTGATTTCATAACTGTTTTTAAATTTTCCATTCGTTTTGACAAAGACAGTTTTTCACTGTGAGGACGCTGCTGTTTCAGCTGCAGCAGAGAATTATTCCTGAAACGTTCAAAACAACCAGATGAGACAGTGGTTTCATGAGGAGCCCAAGAATGTTTAGATGTATATTTAAATATAAATGTATATAAATGAACTCATAGGACAGAAAGATTGTTAAACTTTGTTAAATTTCTTCTTCTTCTTCTCCAGGTTTCAAATGAACAAAAAGACGAAGGTGTGGAGAGATTCATTCCTGGTGGAGAGAGGGTAAACATCTGAATATAAAGACCATCACTGACTGTATATAGAGATGATTATTGACTGTATATGAATCATATATTTCTCCGTTAACAGGAAGTTGCTCCACCAGCGGGTGGAGGGAAAGGAAGTGACACAGGAGGAAAACTTCCTGCCCAAACACCAGCGAGTAAAAGATCTGTGTCAGAGAGCCGAGTACCAGACGCCCTGTCAGCAGACTGGACAGGTACAGTAACACAAGTAGTACTTTGTTAATACTACTGGAGAACTACTCATGGTATTACTTCTGATCCTATTACTTCATTTTAGTTTGTGTCCCATTACTTTACTCCCTTTGACTCCAGATCCAATTTATTTCTAATCATGTTATTACTCTGATGATGATCATCAGTCCTTAACTTAAAGAAACATTGATTTCATGTTCACGCAGTTTTCAGACGTTAGTGAACGTTTTGCTGAGAGATCCTCAGTGAAGAGCTTCTCTGGAATAAATGTAGGAAAACTGTGGTGATGATGAACAGAAGGAGACTAGAAGGAAACAGAGGAGAGGATCAGAGGCTCCTGTCAGAGAGATGAGAACCAGATGTGATCAGCAGCGAGCAGACAGATACAGTAACAGCAGTAATGACGAGGAGGAGACGACAATCAGGAGGAGACGCACGACACAAACCTTCTCCCAGACGCTCTGTGTGTGTGTCTGTGTGTGTGTGTGTGTGTGTGTGTGTGTGTTCATGCTTGTTCGAGGTTAATTACACTAAAAAAAAATCCCTTAAGGCTGTTGATTAGTTTCTTACTGACGGTGTCTGTCGGCTGCTGGACGGCTCTGATAAACAGCCTGTAGAAGAGTGTGTGTGTGTGTGTGTGTGTGTGTGTGTGAGACATTTGTCTCTCTTTAATAACTGTGGGCAACAGGAGAAACTCACTCAGCTCGTGTTAATGAACGACTGCAGGGCGACAGTACAAACACTGTGTTTGTGAGTAACGTGCACTCGGAGCTCAGAGCTCAGAGTTTCAATCCACTGAAGGTAAAACATGAAAATCAACAAACTTCTGGAAACATGTTTTTATTTTTTTATTTAAACGTTCGGAATTAATTTGCTACGGTGGCGTGTCTGTTGAGCAAAACATCCACTGGAGGGCAGCACAGAGTCAAAACTGTGATAATGTTCCTCTGAAGAAAGAGAGCAGTTTGTCTGTGAGGTCGTTAAATACATCGAATTCTGGTCACTGATCTGTTTTGTCTGTATCTTTCGTACGAGGGAGGGTTAGATACATCCGCCAGATGATTGACATGAAATCGTCTGTGTGTGTGTGTGTGTGTGTGTGTGTGTGTGTGTGTGTGTAGAAGTGGCAGTGTGTGGAGGACGCTACGGGTAAACTACGACTCTTCAAGTGTAAGAACGAGGGGGGATGGGCGAAGAGCTTCCAGAGGGGTGTGACTGACCCTCAGCGGCCAATCAGCATCAAGTCTCAGCTGTACCATCGCAACTCAGACGCTTGTGACTGCGACTTCCGCGACCTTCGACCTCTGAACCCGCGACCGTCCGTGATGAGGCCGTTCAACAACAAACCTTTCTTCTCCAAGAAAAGTGAGTGTTAACGTTTCAGTCCAGCAGGAGGCAGCAGAGGGGGGGGGG